GAGGCAAAGAAATCCCAATTGTTGTATAGCTAAGCTATGTCCCCAAGATGAAGATGGACGCAGGTTCTTTCACCAAGCCCGTTGCCTTATTAAGACTCTCGTAGTTGAAGTAAGTCAAGAATTGTCCGCGCGCCTCCTGATTTATTCAACTGATGCATCCATCCTCACCGAAAAAATTTGAAACGAAGCTTCTAGTTGTATGGGTTAACTACTACAGCGGTACCCCATGGATCATGGGTTTACTACCCCATGAAGGGGTTAACTAGTTGTGGGAGTTCTCCCTCTAGCCGAAGTGGCGCTAGTAGCTGCTCCTTCTAGTCCCCGAGGTAAAGCTAGAAGATGAGATGGCTGCCAGTTTTCAGTTGTCTACACTTTCTTTCTCGTAGAGGAGGACGGAAGTTTTTTCTTAGACGAGGGGGGACAAAGTCGGCAATTATTCTTTTGAAGGTCGTAGCAGGATAGTTTAGTTAGCACAGAAGAAATAGAGAACTAGTTGATATTGCCATGACTAGGTCTCCTAGAACTGCTAGTAAATAGCAGTTTGTTGTAGATTCAGCATTATTTAGGAGAGAAGAGACGCGCAGACAGTCGCGGCGGTGGACCAGAGCCCGTGGCGCTCAATCGTTCACTGCCTCGATTGCGTTCAATCTCACTCTTCCAGAACTACTACTACCAGTGTAGTTTGTGCTTCTAACTGCTTAGAAGTCCTGAGGAGCATGGCGCGTGCTAGTATGTTCTACTATGAGTGATCATGATGGTGCTACCTCATTTTCATTTTCTTTCTTTTCTAGCTAGGGCTCGACTGGGGGAAGTCTTATGTGTCGTGTGTGAAGTTCTTCCTTGGAAACTTGCAACTACAATGGGGATGCTCGCGTAAAACGGACAGAGAGCGACTCGCTGAGTAGGATTATACTTTGTTACTCATGTAGCCCGCTGTTGGACAAAAGTGGCACATCTCTTCAAGACATGGCACGTCTGCAGGAGGGGACTTGCGCCCCTGGGACTGTTCAGTAGAGTCTCTCCACTTATGATAGTATCAACGCAAGTATCATGGTGGAACAATTTAGCGTTCTGAATTTCCTTAGTTGCATTTATTCGCCCTACATCTTCACATGACTAACTTGTATTATCGTTATCCCATCACCAAAAAAGATTTCTCATTCTCATTGACTATTTGTATTTGCAGCTCCGCAGCATATCCTCCCGCATGTTTGACCTAAGTATTCAGATGTTTGATTGTTTTTCAATAATTTGACTCCGTCCAAAACTTCATCCATGCAACCTCGTCACCAAGATGAGATCTCTATGATTCGTCAGTCATATGTAGAGGAATACACACATCATGACAAGTCAGCGCGCGACTTGTCGCGCTGGGGCTGTTCTATAGTAAAGAGTCTCTCTGCTACTACTACTCGAGAGCAGAGGAGGCGACTCAGTGTCGCCCCGCGACTGTTCGGGTATGGCCTGTCAGTCTTCCAAAAGCAGTAGGCTGATCCAAAAGGAGGAGGCTGAAGAGGATAAAAACGTAGTTCACTAGACGCCTCGAAATAAATACAAGGACAAAAGGGAGTAGAGCGTCAGAAGGTGGTGGACAAAACCAAAATGGTCTAGAGTTACGCATCGTGGACGAGTTACTACGCGGTCAGCAGATGTGCTTCGCGACGTTTTGTCATGGCGTCGATCGACTCACCACAAATGTTAAGGTCTGGATGTATTTAGGTCTTGTATTGAGGTGTTGCGTGTAGCTGTTGTCGATGTAGGTCTTGTATTGAGGTGTTGCATGCAGCTCTTGTACGCAGCACGATTAGGCTGCTTCGGTTCTCGCTGATCAATAGGTAGTGCCGTGTGCTCCTTTTCGATGGTTGAAAATGGTACTTTCATTGTGGGAGGAAGTACGGGGGACGAGCACGTGTCCACCTTTCAAATAAGACGGCCGAGCTGCTCACGTTGATGACTCTATAAACACCAGCGCCAGTCTTATACTCGACTTGATTTGATTCGTCACTTTCATAGTGCAGTGTGACACTGTCACCATGCTATAGTCTAACTCATTGAGAGAATGTTGAAAATGGAGAAAGTTGAACTTGAAAGTCGCTTCAAATGACACGTCAGATTTTGAATTGATTCCTTGGGCGATAAAAAGCAACTTTTTCGAGGATTGTGGAAGTTCAATTTGAAATCATTGCCAGCATCGTCATCATTATCATCAAATCATCATCCTCGTCGTCATCATCAACCTGATCCTGCTCCACCTGTTTCACCTCTTTCGTAGTGAACATTGTCACCATTGTGCTACTCCTAGTGTGTTTGTGTTGCTCTCTTTGGTAATCTACTACTTTGGTGTACGTGTAGGTGTCCTGGAGAAAGTTGGCTCTAAGGTTTTAAATTGAATTGGTGGGCGATAAAATACCACTTTTTCGAGGATTGTGAATTTCACTGAAGCAGAGCAGTGATGTGAAATCGTTCACCCTGACTATACTACTTGTACTTTTGTACTAGGTCGTTGCCTTTGCATTTGCTTCATCTCGATCCCCATGAATCACAGATCGGAGACAAACTTAAACTTTAGGTTATTTTGAATGATGATTTGGATTTGCTACAGTAAGTCAGCTTGATCTTGGTGTTCCTTCATAGATAACGCGGCAAAGGCCACCAACTACAAAGAACTTCTTTCTTAATGTTGGCCATCAACTAACCAAGTTCTATGATAACTTTTAGATGGTACTATAGGTAGCTAGACATACCTAGGTATACGTATAGTTAGAAGGCTCGTAGATGATGAGGCCATTCCTATCTTCATGCCTTATTCTATCCTATCGATCGTAGCAGACTTCTTCTAATGTTGGCAAATCGTCAGCCAGCTCTGTAGCGAAGTTTTTTGAGTCCTGCACGACGACTACAGGTTCGTCTACGGGAGGAGGAGAAGCAGCCTCGAGTGGAGGAAGGACGGGATTAATGTCTAAAGTTATGCCACTACAGGACTCATTTTTATAAGCGTAACTTGTTATTGGCTTTGTTCTTGGCTCTCTGAATTTGATGCTTGCTAAGACGTGTGCTTTTTTGTTTTAGATTTAGCAGTGATATTCAAACTCATGTGATGAGTCTATAGGTACTGTATAAGGCTGCTCCGCTGAGTAAATATTCTCGTCCTGAAAGCCCATTTCTAATACCACGCAATGGATAGCAGAGGTGAAATCGCTGACTGGTGATGGGTTTAACGTGCCCGCTTTGACAAAGCTCTTCGAACGCTTGCAGTTGCCTCAGGACGCTCTTGCGTTGAAGAAACAAGCAACCTCAGGAGCGACCCCGTTCCTTGAAGGCACAAAGCCCGCACAGAGATTAAGGCTTGTAGAATGATGTGAATGAAGTATTTCTATTTTCTTTTTCTACTAATGTCAGAAGGCGGAGCGACATTTTCAGTAGCGCTTGAGCGCCACTGCTTCTGGGTAGGGCAACAATTTTCATTGGTGCTGATTTTCTGAGGTCTAGTTTAAGAAAGAATCACTAGATCTGGGGATTTGCACATGCAGCACCAATCAAGGATCAACATTATCATGGGGATGGGGTTGCATATGGTAGCTCTAAATTAAGCAGCGGAAGCACTCGATCCATACAGCGGGAACATTGAGGCCTACATGGATCTTTGTAGGATGAGTGTTGTCGCAGCACAAGAAGAAAGCCAAAAATTAGGACAAGGATCTAAACAAGACCTTTTAACGATAATATGATCGATTATACCACAGAAGACCAACAGTATCATCTTGACTCGTTGCGCGTCTGTCTTGTTTTCCTAGGAGGCCGGTACATTAAGATGTACTTAGACTAAGAGCTCCAGCTCGACGAGCGTCACGAGAATTAGTATCATGTAGATGAAGAGCTTAGATCTTATACTATCGTGAAGACAGGGAGGAGGAGCTCCCGCTCTAAGAAAAGCAGGCGATGGCGCTGACGCAGCTTCTGGCAACAAAAAACAAATGCCTCCAGTTGTTGTAGATATTGCCTCAGTTGTGAGTACTACACCCGCTGCAGCCGCGTCTGCACCCACAGCAGGCAAAGATTAAGAGCACCTACTCGAGGTGAGTCAATTTTTACCAACGTGTTTTATTCAATTTCAAATCCACCAGCATGTTTTTTGAGCCAACGACTTCCTCAGCTGGCTCTAAAAAGACGTCGCCAGGCCTTCGGTATCGTCTTGTTTACCGACGTCTTTTAGTCAATTTCCTTAGTTCTAAAAAGAGGTCGCCATGCCTTCGGAGGTATCCTCGGAAGCTACCAAGGGTTTAGATCCTCCCTTTGTACACACCGCAACCCTTCGTTTGTGGCGAGTTGCATCTGCGCGCCACGGAAACTTCATACAGAGGACGAGCTTGTTGAGATTTCTGAAGCTAAGATCATTATCTGAATTTAACAGGTTGGATGATCTATCATCGGATCATCTAGATCAGACACATTGGATGAGATTTCTATTATTATATATTCAATGTATGAGGGCAACTCACTCAACCAGTATCAGGGATAGTTCTTAGGGCAGCTCACTCAACGAGAACTAGTTGTACTACGGATTGATAGACGTTAGTGAAAAAAGCACTACTTACATAAGCTTCTAATTAAGGATTTGCTTTTTACTAGAAAAGAAGTCGGTCAGTCGACCACGGCCGCACTTGAACAAGGAGCTGCATTAGCAGCAGCTGCGGATGCGAAAGGTGAAAGTGGCCTTGTGAGCAGTGACGCCAAGAATGCTGAAGCTCCTTCGTCAAGCTCGAGCATGCATGTCGCGCCTCGGAATTCGAAGACCGACAAGACAAACAACACTGCAGCTGTTGCTACTCCTTCACCTCCGCAACGACACTAAGGCATGATAGAAAGATATACTATAGATCTTGATATCTTCCTGATTCAGATTCAGATTCTCCATTGGTGTCTTATCTTTCAGTGAATACGCGTAGGGGCGTTACGAAAGACAAAAAACAAGTGTTCAGACTCTTGATGAGTCTTCAACTTCAATAAAGTAGATGTAGTTCGTAGACGCAGAAGAGAGAGAGAAACCTAAGCATGAAGATCTTCAATTTCGTATAGTACTCGAAACCTCCCTAGTAAAGGCTAAACGTCATGATCTTCTTCAAGAATGTGGTAACAGAAACCCCATCCCTAAATGTTAAACATGTTGATGATCATCTGCTATCGTCTAATATCAACAACAGCCTCCGGCGCAACAGGTTCCAAGGGGTCTGTGGTTTGAGCCTTTATCCCTCATAATGATGCAAATGCGTCTGCCATTGACCAGAGAGCAAGCACGCGCACTCTTTGCGCATTATGCGAGAGAACATGCAGAACAAAGAGACACGTCGCAGAAATTAAGGCTCGCGACCTCGCCGTCAAGGACCTAATAAATCGTAATTGATTTTGATTCATCAATCTTCATAGATAGATGATGACGATGAGAAGCATTTTTTTTGTGGTTTGCTCAGTCAGACCAAGGACTGGCTGTAGAAGGCAGGGAAATCAACAATTGATGAATTTGCGCGCGCGCATCTAACTCTGAGGAGGGCGACGGCTATGGAAGACACCTCTGACGTAGGGACGAGAAGAGCATCTACATTTTCCAGAGCAGGTTAAGGCCCCAAATAAGTCGTCGTCGACGGACCACTTTTAATGTTTGATAGAGTTGTGGATCGTCAACATCAAGAGCAGCAACATCTTCTGGAGTCGTGAAACTTCTAGGAGTTTCATCAAGCTCCACTTGCACTTCTAGGAGTTTCATCAAGCTGCAACATGAATCTTGAAAAAAAGCAAGAAGTCTTGAAGATTATACTCCAGCATCTCTCTAAAAAGTGGCGGAAAATGGCGCTGAGGCTGACCCAACAGCAACAGCATCAGCAGTTAAGGCATTTGATAACTCATCTCCGCAAGACCAAGAGCCCAAGAGCCACTAGCACGAGCCACGACAGAGGATGCGAAAAAGCTGGATCCCTTTCCCTCGTGTAGTTGTACTTTGTAGTCTTTCCACGACAGTAGACGTAGATGAGTACTTAAGTTTGAAAGTATCTTCCCGGTAGCTCGTAGTCGTGTTTGAATCGTCGTGAAGCGACAGTAGAGTGAGCTTGAAAGTATCTTGTCTTCTGTGTCGCTCGTAGTCATGTTTAAATCGTCGATCCCTGTCGTCCCTCGTAGTGTTTAAAAAGTCGTGAAGAGGACGTTCTCCTTTTCATCCTCTAAAAGACACGACTCACGCCAAAGCCTCTTCTTGTCTCGAAGCAGAGCACAGAGTCTATTTTCAGATTTAGGGCTTCCCCTAATCCAACGCCAACTCTCTGGAGATCCCTCATCCTCAATAGTATGCACCCCAATACCAGGGAGATACTCTTGAGGCATATTCTACTTGAGGGATCTCCACAGGGATAGGATCGAATAGGATATTAGTGTGCCTTTGCAGGGATGAATTATTGGGGGAAGCCAAGCTCTAAGAGATGTGATCGATTTCGGCGTCCATAGGGAAGCATTCTTCTACTTTCTACATTTTCATCGGATACAGCTTCCGGACTCCGCGATTCTAGCACTTTGGGATCAAATCATACTGCCGAAATTTATGAAGTAGAATCAAATATCTCAATCTCAAACAAAAATGTTACCTGCTATATCTCTAGATTGCTAATAAATGTTCACCTATATCTATCACGCGGGCTGGTCCTGGAGCGTTCATTCGCCCTCAGCTACTTTATGTAATGGTCGACTCTAGCTAAAAGTGGAATGATGTAAGTATTGTTCGTCGTAGACAAAACGAAAGAAACAAATACAAATAGACGCTTCTGCTTGTTGTGCTTCATCTTGTTCGCCAGCACGACTACAGCCAGTACCTTCTAGACCAACAGGAGCCCACAGTTACAGCGTCTCCGTCTAACTATCGGCGTGGTGCCTTGCAGAACTCCACGGTAGAGCTGCCCTCTTACATGGCTGAAACATTCATTGGGCAGTGGATAACGGATCTGCGGATGCGGAATGAGGAGTATAACATTACGAATCCATCGACTTCAAAGGTTGTCGTTGTATATTTAGATGCACTAGTTGCAGAAGTAGATGCAGAAGTAGATTCACACTCAGCAGAGGAAGTAGTGAAAATATCTCGATGTTGTCGGACTAGGACATTAACATTGACATGAGTACTATTTTAGTAGAACAAGTAGAAGTATCTTAACCTTATCGAGGTCGTCGTGTAGAAGTACTAGAAGATACATTTACGTCAACGTCCTCGTGGTCTTTCACTAGGAGAAAGTGTCTAGCTTCAACTAAACACTAGTAGGCTTATGAGGATTAGTAAAGATCTTGTTGTATTTCATTTTCACGTAGTTGATTATCTTGAATGCTTTGTTCTTCCATGATAGTGAGTGTTTGATGTGTCGTTGTTGAAACTTGAGACCTGTCATGTGACTGTGGCGTCATTACTGAGCTCCTCTCAGCTGAGACGAATCTGTCCCTGACGATGCCTATTACTGGTCGTAGTGATTAGCGGCCATTAGCTAGTCAAGTGTAAGTGTCGTGAAAACCTTATCACCAGAAAATGAATTTGAATTTTGGGCGATAAAAAACCACTTTTTCGAGAATAATTGAAATTTCGACTTCTTTTTTTTGAAATTTGAAACTTTGAATTTCTACTTTTTCCATCTGAGGGAATCTGTGGAATGTTGTAGATAGCAAGAGGGCACACAGATGCTTACTCTATCATAATGTAGTAAAAGTAGGATGTACTATTAAAGTAGTAGTGAGAGGATCTTCGCTCGATAGGCAGGAATAAAGACCAACTACGGTCGCACGTGATGTACTGCTTCTACTTCAGAAGACGTAACTCTCTTTCCAAAAATGTAGTTCTTTCACTCCTAGAAAGACTACTAAAGAACTTTGTTGCTCAACCTAGAACAAGAGACAACAACAAGCTCCACCTCTAAGTTCTCTAATCTCGAAGCAGAAGACAACAAAGAGCAGATTGCGAGTACCTCTGTGGCGCCATGGCCTCCAAAAGAACTTGTGCCGATCGAATTTTATGCTCCATCTCCTAATCCATCTCTAGTACAGGGAAGTAGATTCGTCAACAATTCAAGGGGATCCGTCAACGTTTCATCTGGCGTTGTACCCCATGAAAATAAATGAATGGCAACTGCAATATCTACTAGAAGACGTAGGTGGTGGACGAGTAGACCTATTTACCTGTTAACTTTTTACTCCGTACTGTAGATAGTTGACCTTGACGAGGACAGAGTAGATAGACTGGAAGCGAGGGGATAGCGCTCGTCTTAGCACCGACCACAGAGATGCATCTCCACAGAGATGGTGATGGATGTCCACGGATATCAAAATCAATGGTTTGCTAGGGACACTTAGCTCTCTCTAAGAATTTGTTACCGACTTAACAATCGAGGTACTGCTTCGAAGTGGGATGTGGGTAGAGTTTGCCAAAGAGATACTGCGTTCGCTCGACGTCGTCGTCGCTCCGGATGTTACGATGAGTAACTTCTCTTGAGGGCGCTTGATTAGTACACCCAACTTTTAAACTCGTAAAATAGCAACTCAAATTGTTGATGTCAGTATGAAAAAGTTGACCCCCATTAAACTCGAAAAATATAAATTGTTGCCAGCATCAAAAAGCTGGCCCCCATTAAGTCGAAGCTCGCCGATGCTATTTTGGTTCTTTATCCTTCCTCCGTGGCAGCTTTCACTACACCAATTTTGATATACGCGTTATTCTTGACCACATTTACCTTACGTTATATTGACCTTGAAGTTCTTGAATCTGTTCCGTCTTGCCGGTAGTTTAGAAGGGCTACTCACGTTATTTTTGACCACATGCACATTACAGCGTTATATAATTACTTATATATCATCGACCCACCTCCCACAATGATTTATATTACTCCCACATCGTTTTCGTTGTGTTATCAATATATGATTAACGACGCTCTTTCTAATATCCATGTAGAAAGCATCTTTCGGGAGTTGCTGATAAAAAACATTGTGGAACAGAGTTCGGCAGGAGACGTTGAGAAGAGCAATTCGACGAAACAGATGACGGGGTTTCTCCCATTCGACGACTGCTATCGGATCCTCAAAGGCGTCGGGAAGATTATGAGTCTGACTTGCTCCAAATTGGCTCCAACATGACTTCTTGCGCTTTCGGAAAAAATGATAAAAATGCAGATGGTCTATCTCTATCGATCGTTTCTGAGCAGTTGTATTCCTATTCCAGAAGTAGAATACACAATCGATATCGATTTCTTGTTGGATATCATTCAAGATTGGTGGTTCTTGCTTCGCCCCCTAAGAAAGGTAACTACATGTCGTGCACCAACTTATCGAAGGTATTGCTCTTTCAATCGGTAAATGGACCTTGTCGAAGGCATCTTCCTTTCAACTAGAGCAGGAGAGAAAAGTTGTGTACCCTGTCAACTAGAAGAAACAGAAAGGAAAGGTGTCGCAAGATACGTGGCTTCAAACTACACTCTGATTACAGCTACATTCTGATGGAACGTTCTAAGAAGACATCGGGAATGGATTTCCGCTACTTCCGGCGCACCATACAGGCCTTAGGTATGGCTCTATTAAAAATCGTTGATGTAGTCGTGCATGTGGTATAACTTCCTGCTTCCTCTTCCTTGCTCTTCAGTCTCAGAGTCTAGCTCGATTAGTACTAGTCCTTGTACTTCCACTTCTTCAGACTCTAGCACTTCTTGCTTCACCTTCTAGAAGATGTAGTGCTCCAGAATGATGAGGTCACCATGATTTTGTTGTTAGTTCCGCTAATCCGAGCCTGAACTTTTCCTACGCGGACTTGTATGACACTTACGTTCAAGCGGAAAAGGAAGAACGCCTCCGCCTTGAACAGTTCCAGTTAAGGCTTGTCAGCATAGTACTTCATTCATCTTTAGCGACAGGATAAGGATACTGTTTAACTTGTCTCAGTCAGAATGATGAGGGAATCCTTCTTGAATATCTCAGAAGATTCTTGTTTCTACTATGGTGCTATTGCTTCTGGGGTAGAAGAGAACATTTTTGCTGAGAATACAAATACAAAAACTCTGCTGGCTCCTGTAGTACAATGAATGGATGAATCAATGAGAGTCCTCTAATCCAGTTGGCAGCGTTGATCTTGGTGAAAGAGCGACTTCAGCGGCAGTTCATGCGCGAGCTTGGTTTGGAATCGGATCAGATTTTCTTAACGATGCTCGGCTACAGTGCTCTCTTCATACTGATATTCCTCTTCTTTTATGGCGCACAAAGAAAAAGAAACCGGTTAGTTTTCCCCCATACCCTAGATTTATCCCAACAAACACAATCTATCGCATCAATCATAGTTGATTACTCTCGTGTGAGCTGTGAAGCTGAGGGTGAGTGTGTAGTTGCCTGTATCTGTATGAGAGACCACTGTTAGTGGGTATCTTTCAGGCTCAACAATGTTAGTAGGTATCTTGCTCTAAACGGTTGTTTGGCTCCATGTCGTCATCCTCCCTACGAGTTTCTTTTTCTTCTAGATAGACGGTCGGTGAATAATTAACATCAAAAACCACAAAGTAGATTTCTAATTTTCGCTGCTCGTGTTGCAGAGTTTCGGTCCGGGTCATAGTTTGATCACGACTTCGGTCCAGGTCTTTTTCGCAGCTTTCGTTACCTTCAGTGTGGACCGGCTCAGCAGCGAGGGAATCAACTTGCCGACTTATCTATTAAGGCAACTGTTACGACTTATCTATGTCTATTAGGGTCGTGATATCAACATCGATTGGGGTTGCTTAGCGCGCGGCCATCTGGCTATAATCATACTACTGGCAACAAGGCTATGCCTTGTCCTTAATCAGTCAAAAACCTAGTTCCTTTGCAACTATTAAGGCCACTGCTACGACTCCGTCTACGACCCTAAGGAAAAACTCCTTTACGCTTTCGCCTACAAGGACTGCTAGCTACAGCTATTCCTTTGTCACAACCTTATTTTTTTTTTCGTTTTTTGGAATCTCCAAACGGACCACGCCCTTCGGGAACGATGTAGCCAATGGAGGGCTGAGCAGCTAAACCACAACTCGGCGCTCCCGTCCCAGGGATAGCGAAGGGTGGACTCGATAAGCGCCGCCAGAGGAGTCCCAACCCTTGGGAGGCTCCGATCGGAGGTGCCTTGGAGGGGTGTCAAAAAGGGGGACAAAAAGGCGTCACTTGTACCCCCCAAACAAGGGGGCACAAAGGGCGACACTTTTGGGGCCAAAAGTGTCGCCTAAAGGCACCCCCTAGACCCCACTAGGCAGGACCGTTTCGGTCCTCGTAAAAAGGGTCGACGTTTTATTTTCAAAAATGGGGTGCAAAATGCACCCCATTTGTGTCGACCCTTTTTTGGCCAAAAAGTCCCCCATTTGAAGTGCTTCAGCTGAGGGTCTCCAAAGGGCTCGGGACCCTCCAGACGTGTTCGTAGCGTGTTCGTCTCGGTGTCGCCGTTGGAAGCGTGCCGTTCCCCAGATTGCCAATCCAGCAGCTTGGATGCCTAGCTGGGACATGCGCTGGCGGGCGCATCTTTAGGTAGCCAAAATAAAAAAAAGAATGACGTTGCGCAACGAGGAAAATCCTGGTCTAATTGTGCCTCTTGTTTTATTTCTCTCCATAGATTTGCGCTCGGTTTGATTTACTTTCCATAGGGTCTAGTATCAGAGACACTCTTAAATACAAATCTCCATGCGCATGCTCATCTGAGGCATGAGAGTTTTGTGAACAAATCGATTGTATTTGATCTTGTCAGCAATTGTCTACCCTCCATAGGCATCGTGGCTAGTAGGTACTGCAGATGCACTTAAACAACTCTCCTTGGGGAGATCTAATGTAAGGCAAATTGAAGGCAGTGGTGAAGAAATCCGTGAGGGTTATGCACTAGCTCATCTGCTGCTGGAGGAGATAAGAGCATTGGGCTAGTACGACAACCTGCTGTGCGTGTACGTCAAGAAGAAAGATGGGACGCAGATGCCAGTAGGCGCTGTTGTACGAGAGGAAGACAAGAGGAGACTTCTACAAAGATGTGCATAGTGCTATTGTTTTGAAGAATAAGACCACTCAACAGGACTCAGTTGTGCAAAAACTTCTTTTTGAGGTTGCCATGTATTCATCATCGTGATTGAGTTGAGCATCAAAATTTGTATCACTCGGCAAAAAATCGCAATCATCACTCGCTTGTTCCTTGTAAAGTAATAAATTTCGCGACGGCTTCTACTAAGCTACATGATGAAATGCATAAATGATAGATAACGATCACAAATTTTAATACAATGTCTATCCTATGTTGACGCGTATCTTCATCTACTTGCCGTATATCCACTTCAATGGAAAAACGAAGATAGAGACGGATCATCCTCGGTGTCATTCTAGCTACTAAGCAAGAAGTTGCTGATAAGATGTTACTACGTCTATATCACCAAAGACCTGTTGTACTACTTGTATATTAACCTGCTTGGCAAAAGGTGTGGCTACAACTTCGCATATCATATCGCCAAAGTTGTAGATAGTCTATCACCAAAGAGTAACAAGAGTTGTTTGAGGATTATGCAGCTAAATTGTCTCTGATAAAAACCATCAAAAGAGACTAAATCAAAATTAACGAGTTCTCACTTTTTTTGGAAGTTATCTTTAGTGATAATTTACATTTCTAGAAGAATGGAAGCGAAGGCGGAGGGTAGAGCAATGTAGTTTTTTGATTTTCTTTCATTCTCATCTCCTGAACAAGAAGTGTTTGTACCTACTAAGAACGCTAAAATAGAAACGTGAGCAGAAAGCCTTTTTGCGAATGATGTTTCCTTTTTGAAAATATTCAATAATATCGGAAAATCTTCTTGAGAGATATCTATGACGAACTACAGGCTGTTTTCCAGATCCAGTGTAAAGCCGTTGCTTCTTTGCGTCAAGCCTAGGTCGTCTAAGACGCATTGTGACCACTGAGACTGGCTATCA